GTGGCGCTTATCGTCCGGCTTCCTGACCAGCCACCCGGGGTCCCAGCCGCAAGGCCGCCGCCGCCGCTGTTACTCTCGACGCCGCCGCCATCATGCTCGCGAGCGTGAGAGAACGGGCGGAGGGGGGGGGAACGGAAGCGCGCGCTCGACTCCCCTCCCCGTCCCCTCCTTTCCTCCCTCAGCGGCAACGAGGACGTCGCCGGTTGCAGCGCGTCCCTCCGCTAGCCGCTCAAGGGGGCGGGGCCAGGGCTTAAGCGTCACAATCATGTGCCCCCGCCCCTTAAGGGGGTGGGTGGGGCGGGGCGAGACTGGGTGAAAGGTAACCGCATACCGCCCCATCCGAGCGCCCGCGAAATTGGCCGCGGGGGTCGCATTAAACCCGTCCCTCAGGTGGCGTGCCGTGGGCGCGCGCCTCCTGTCGTGCTCCCGTCCCCGTCCAGCCCGCTGTCGTTGCTCGCCTTGGCGAACTGTCTCAAATTAATCTTGAGGGCTGAGTCCGGCTCTGGAAACCTCTACACAAACAACTCTTTCTCGGTGGGGCCAGTTATTAGTTGTTGAACTGCAATTCCCATCAGTGCGGACTACCATCGTCCATGGCGAGACGTGATGGGAGATGTAGTCCAAGAACATGGGCTAAGCCGTTCCCTCAGCCGTTGCTCTACATTTTGCCCAGAGAAAGAATAAGCTTAACACTTTATAATTAATAAAAGTAGACTGCCATGCGATAGTGTTCCTGGGTATGTTTTTCCCCCCTCGGAAGTCGTTAAATCTCCACTGTGATCAGCCGGGCTTACTGTAAAGCGTTTAAAATGGCAGCTTTTCACTAGGAAATGAACCTCGCTGAACTCAGTGGAAATTCTTACTACTGTAATCACTCAGGTCTGCTCCGGGTGGATGTTTTGTCCAGCGATCTCACGATAACATCCTCTCATGAAATTTCAGCAAATCCTGTGAGGCCCATGCAACGTGAACATGAAAGAGCTTTTTTTGTGTGTCTGGCCTAACCCGAAATTCTAGAAATTCCACAAGAAGGGCGAGGCTAGCCCAAGCCATTTCTCTGAAGTGAAACAACATAGTGTCACTTCCACTTGGGTCGAAGTAGATAATGCTCAAAGGCACTCACATTATTTTGGCACAAGAGTTAGCAAGCCCCACAGGCACCTCTCCCCTCCCCGGGGAGTAAAAATACAGTAATTTCAAATTTAAATACTGTAGTCCTTTCATGTCACCCAAATCTACTTCTACTGACAGCTGCCTCTATGCCTGATTTAACCTTGATGTACTGTTAGCCCCCAGGATTTTTAGCAGGACTCTATAATTTGTGTTTACCTTTTTATTATTTCACATATGGCATATATTAGTTGTTTTTAAGCTGTCCTGTCATGATTTTTATGATGTAAATAATTAGATAAAGATTTTAAAGAGCAAGCCTGATTCCTAGCTAACAGTATGAAGCAGATATAATTTCCCCACAGACAAGAGAGTAATTTACAGGAGTTAAAAAAAATCAGTGTAACTGTCCTGTCAAGTACTGTATATCCATCCACAAAGAGCCATGCAGTCTCTTTGTTAAACACCCATTTCATCTACTAAAACAAGTCTGTGAACAGCTGTGAATGATATTACATAAGGTGCAAAATTATATAACTTGCTAGTAGACTCATGATGTGTTGCTGTCTCAGGAAAGGCAAGCAGCCCCCAACCCAATTCCACACACAAAAGTAACCCAGATTGACTGTAGTCTTTCCTCATTACTGGTAATGAGTTACCATCTTCCACTATGGCATCAGATCATACGTTAAGAGAAAGGCATACTGTATTTTCTCCTCTGATAGCATTATCCCTCCAAGAACACAAATCTTTCAGAACTATATGCCTGAGAAATGAGAATAAAGCCATATTCATCTCCAAGTATCTAGTTTCAAAAATAAAAGCAGGCTAATTTGCTAAATGTGAGTTCAGCTAGAGTGAACAATTGTTTCCTCTTAGGGAAGCTTTTCATGAAATGACATGTTAACAATATAGTTACTTTGGTTCTTAGGTTCATGTTTCAGGTGTTGTTGTCAGAAGTGCTCACAGTTCCAGATGCATACTTGTAAAAACAACTGAATTCTCACCCTATCATTATGTCACAGATATAATTTTTCACTTTGTATTGAGATGCTGTCCCTTTATGGAAAGTGTAAGTTACACCTTTTACTCTAAGGAAGGAAAAGCCAAATGTTTCAGCTTTATTAATAATCTGTGTGCCATGGGCTATGTGCCTTCCAAATTTAAGTTTTCTGTGTGGCTTTGAAGAACATTACAGCAGTCTTCCCTCATATTGTGTCTTCCACAGATTACGGACTTCAGTTCTCATCATTCCCAGTCTGTGTGACAATGGGCAGGAAGTAGTTGTAAACCGCAATAGGATGGGGAAGGTTTCCATTAACCATCTACGCATACAATTGTGTCAGGGTATAAACATTTTGACACAATTGCAGTGGAGTAACACAAGTGTGTTGAAAATTAGGGCCATTTGGAGAACCCAAAAGGTATACACATTGGAATATACAAGAACTCCACAGGAGACAAGCTGAAGTTCCGAGTTTAGTATTGGTTCTACTTACTGTTTTTATTGCTTTCTTGTTTAATTTCTTTTTAATATATGTATACTTACTGTTTTTAGCTTTTGGACATGGTCTTTTTAATGATACGCTGCCTTGTTGTTGTTTTTTTTAAAGGAGAAAGGTGGGATATAAATAAACCAATAAACAACTTCCTTGCCTCCATCAGGTTCTCTTAGCCGACGTGGTTAAAAACTAGTTGCAAGAAGTCTGCTTCTATAGTATGTTCTAGGTGTGAGGTTTCTCTTCTATAAGTATTTCACTGTACATTACAGAATATTAAGAGGCAAACCTGCTTGTTGCTTATCACTGGCCTTAGGGCAGACTAGTTACAGCCTATCTCAAACAGCATGTATCCTCCTCCATTCCCACAGAAGGCAAAAAACAGATATTATACAAGTGAAAGGGAACAACTGCTTTGAAAAATGGGACCACCCCGTTAGCTGCAGCCAGTATTCTCTGTTCAGCTTTCCTAAGTACCAGTCTTAGACAGGCTCTTCTATAAAATGTGGACACAAACCTGATAACTAATCAGACATAACTCTGATTAAATAAAGGGGATTTGTTTGGGAGTAGACAAAAACAAACAAACCCATATACACTGCAAAATACAAGTTACAACTAGATGGCCAAATAGGATCTGTATAGGTGCAGTGTGCTATTTGTATTGGGTATTCATTTTTGAATTGGGTTGTGAGATCTCGGGTTTTTCCTCCCTTCCCTTGAAATTTGTGCATGTTTTTGCTCTAATGTGCACATTTATATAGGCATTTTACTTAATGTATGCATTTATTTATGAATGGGCCTTATTTATTCCCCCATTGTCTAAAGTTTAAATTCTAAACCATGTTTCTGTATTTTTCCCCCAATTGTATGTATTTTAGCCATTTGGATTTTAAAATACTGTAGTTTTGTGTGCACTTTATTTCTCCAAGACACTCACCAAGTCTAAAAAAATGTGTACAGTATTAGGGTGAGCTGTGTTTCTTCTTGCAGTGTCCTAAACAGTATGAAAACATGATCAAATCCAGCAACATTTTTTCCATTTCTATCTTTCGGACTTATCTTGGTTCAATGTATGTGTACTCAAAATATAAATTTTTAGAGTAGCCCGGATGGTACTTAAACAGTTTAATAGTAGCTACTGGATTCTAAATTTAAGAGAAATCTATAAACACCCTGTTTGAGTTTACAACATTTATCTCACTGCAATCCTCTACCCAATTTGATATCCCCATGAGTTGAGGAACCACTTAAGCTTGGCTTTATTTTTAACCATAATCATCTGTATTATGTCTGTTGTTAGAGCAAAGCTGTTGACTCACAGTGACACTAACAACTTTGGAGGCTGCAAGAATCTTACCAACCAAAAGGCTGAATTTGCACTCTATCAGAAAGAAAGAAAATCACATTTGTTTCAAGAAAGATACGTGAGCAAGATGTTAGATTCCATCTGCATCTACTTACGTATTTTCCATGCAATATGGAACATCTCATTATCAGCCATTTTTAAAATGTGAGATCCACATGGAAATCCTACCAAACTATGCTTAGGCAATGCAACTATTATCAGCACTGGATTTAAGAGTGGTTGACACAGGCCTGGTTTAAGGGATAAGGTAAAAGGTAAAGGTTCCCCTTGACATTTAATCTAGTCGTGTACAACTCTAGGGGGCGGTGCTCATCCCCATTTCCAAGCCATAGAGCCAGCGTTTGTTCATAGACAGTTTCCGTGGTCACTTGACCAGCATTTAAGGGATAGCTGTCACATATTGTCTGCTCAACAGCAGATCCAAAAACAGCTGGAAATACTGGATATACTATAGCCATAGAGTTTCACTCTATATGTCGCTGGCTTATCATACTGTCTTGGAGTTGGTGGCTCTCATTTTCTCATTTGTTTCATCCAGACAATCAGAGACTTTAGAAAGCTCTGTTTTAGGCTTGTTTAACTGGTTTGTCTGGAAGAAATAAATCAGAGAATGGGAGCTTCTGATTACACGATAAACCAGCTATGGAGTAAAGTTCAACTGCTTTTTTATTTGCTTCTATTCCAAGCAGGAGTTATTTAACAGCCAGGGTCACCCAGGATTTTGGAGAAATACTAGACATCCAGATACACTCAGTAACCTATATGATCATTAATGGCCATGCTATTGTTATTGCCATTTAGAGGATAACATACAACATGACTGTCTATTCAACAAATGGTGTGCACATGTGGGACTGTGATCTGTTACCAACCTGAAAACAAATCACACCCATATGTGCAAATGTTTTGTCTTATATGGCAGTGATACAACATGCATCAAAATTGCAAAATTTCCTAGCACTTTTTAACAGAGAAAGTAGTCAATAGTTTAAAAAAATTGCTAGAGAAATGCACTGAAGGAATTCCTCATTCGAAACAGTGTTTGGTGTAATTTACCTTTAGCATCTTTAAAAGCATCTTGTTTGCAGTTCTTTGTTTTCCAAAGTTAGTTCTTTG